GTGTGATGACCAAAACTGGATGCAGGACTCTAGGTGTGGCCTTACTAAGGCTTCACAGAATGGTATTAGTACCTCCCTTGATCTGGATTGTATCCCTCTGTTAATGCAACTTAAGATTGCATTGGCAATCTTGGTTGCCACTGTACATGGCTGGCTCATATGTAGCTGGTTGTCCACTAAGACTCCAGTCCCAAAGCCCCAGGAGAAGACAGGTTTGAGAAGAAGATGAAAGAAAGAGTCCAGAGGAGAGAAAAGGGAGGAAGAAATGGAAGGAAGAGAGAAGAAGGGATGAAGTTCGAAAGCCCCGCGATCTTACCGGGAAGGCGTAGATGAAGATCCCCAGGAAGAGCAACAGAACGAAGACAATGAGGAAGATGAGAAAGACCCACTTGAACCTTCTCCACAAGATGTACTTCAAGGTCTTGTAGGGCGAGGTGAACCACAGGAAGGAGGTCTCCGGGCGCCTGCAACCAAGAGCATCTCAGTGGGGGGAGGAAGTTAAGATCACCCGGCATAGGACCCGCAACCCCATCATGGGCCCAGGATGGACCAGTTATGGCCAGGGTGCCAAGCCTGGCTTTTATACACAGCGGGGAGGCCTTCCTACACCGTGTCTCTGATTTCTCTGGAAAGGAAAGTCAAGGACACCTTAGACCAGCGGTTGCCAACCGGTGGACTGCGGCCCGTGAGAAAATTTCGGTGGGCCGGAGAGAAATCTCACCCCCAGAGCACCCTCACAAAGCAATTAATACAGGCTGCACAGAAACACAAGGCTGCACCGCCCACATGGCCCGCGGGATCCCTCCCCACCCACTCACTCCTTACCCGGTAAACTTGCCTGCTAAACTGCTATTTTTCCTTTTTCCGACCATCATCTGTTCTGCTGTGCCGGGAGATTTAGATTAGCTAGGAAGCAGGAAATGGTTGGATTTCTTTGCTTTCTAGCTAGTCTTTAGATCTTTGGCTCAGCACAGCCGAACCTCCCTTAGGACTGAAGTTTTGCTTGCAAGTAAATTCAGTGCAGACTCACGGCAAGCAAATTTGAGAGACTGAGCTAGCCGATGACAGATAGATAGATCACTCAATGATTCTGTGAGCAACTCAATCTGCCTGCCTGCTCTGCCTGATTTGGGGTAAAAGTTGCTCTTTTTTAAAATAAAAAATTCCAATATCTACAGGCATGGTGTGTTGTGAGTTAATTTTGTGAGTTTGCTTGCTAGCAAATTTTATGAGTTTGCTTGCAAGCAAATTTTATGTGACAGACTGAGCTAGCCAATGGCAGATAGATAGATCTCTGAATGAATCTGTGATTCTGTGAGCAACTCAATCTGCCTGCTTTGCCTGATTTTGGGTAAAAGTTGCTCTTTTTTAATAAAAAAATCAATATTTACGTAAATATTGATAATATTTACATACAAGCCATGCCCAGCCAGTCACATGACCACCAAGCCACACCCACACATTAGGCCATGCCCACAGAACCGGTTAGTGGTCCCTGGGATCTAAAATTATGAGTTTGGTGGTCCCTGAGGTCCAAAAAGTTGGCGACCCCTGCCTTAGACTAGGGTTGTCCAATCTTGGCAAATTTAAGATTTGTGGACTTCAGCTCCCAGAATCCCCCAGTCTGTGACTTTAAGACTGGTGGACTTCAGCTCCCAGAATCCCCCAGTCTGCGACTTTAAGACTGGTGGACTTCAGCTCCCAGAATTCCCTAGCCAGCTTTGTTTTCTGGGGAATTCTGGGAGTTGAAGTCCACAGTCTTAAAGTGGCCAAGGTTGGAGACCTTGTGATATTTGTAAGTGTGAGACCCTGTGATATTATTGACATGCATTCTTTTCTTTTTCAATTTCCCCCTCTTCCCCAAGCATGGCTATATGTGAGAGGCAGCAGTATTGGAACCCATAGTTACTTCACAGATTTCCCTTAAAAATTCTTCTCATTCTCTGCAGCGGACTCCAAAGAGGAAGAGAAATCAAACCAAACCAACCCTTGCACTTCTCTTGGCGGCTCTTACTTTGGGTCTTCTAGCTTGGGGTTCATATTGGGTTCATCCCGGCCCAGCCCAGCTGGCCGTTCTTCATGCTCTTGTTCATTGATGATCTCCAGCGTCATCTCCAACTTGCCCTGCAAAAGGGAGTGAAAGGAAGAGGTGAGTGAGGCCACATTTGAAGACCCGGAGTAGTGGTGAAATGCTACCGGTTCAGCCCGGTTCAGCCGAACTGGTAGTAAAAAAAAAGCTCCCACGATCAGCTAAGAGGAGAAAGAAAAGCACAGGATCAGCCCTTCCATCCGCCCCTGTGCATTTCTCTCCTTTATCCTCTCAGTGTCGGGGTTCCGGCAGTTATTTTGAGTGGTTCGGAGAACCAGCAAATGCCACCTCTGACTGAACCCCACAGTCCTCGTCCTCCTCCTCCTCTTCCTCCTCCTCCTCCTCTCCTGCCTACTTCCTCCTAGCACTGATGATGTAACCTAGTTGGGTCAGGAAACGTCTGCAAGAAAAACACCAAGCTCAGAGAGCACCAAAGACCCCACAAATCCTCCTCCTTCTCCTCCTCCTTTCCACAAATCCCACTCTCTTCTAGCACGGATGATGCTCCCAAGCTGGGTCATGAAACGTCTGCAAGAAAACCACCCAGTTCAGAAACTACCGAGAAGCCCACCATCCAACACCGAGTTCCAAAGATTCTCCTTTCTAAGGAGGTCTCAGAAGCCCAAAAGAAGCCCAGTGAAGCAACTCCCGAGACCCTGAGTTTGAATCATGGAAATTTCCAACAGAGGTGGTAATTCAGCCGGTTCTGACCAGTCCTGGAGAACCAGTAGCGGAAATTTGGAGTAGTTCAGAGAACCGGCCAATCCCACCTCTGACTGGCCTTGCCAACCCCATCTATTCTCTGCCTCCCATTGAGTCCCAGCTGATCAGCTGGGTCTCCTTTGGTTGCCCTGCACAGGAGAACGGAGCTGGAAAGCAGGTTAGGGAGTGGGGAGGGAATGGGATTTTGCAGTATCCTTCCCCTGCCACGCCCACCAAGCCACACCATGCCCACCAAGCCACGCCCAGAGAACCAATAGTAAAAGATTTGAATCCCACCATGGTACAGAACCTTTGGACAACATACTATACGTGACCCTGCGAGCATCTTCTCAGATATCCCCATAGACATCATTCCTGAACCTGCTTTCTGGAGCCTTCAAAGCTTCTCCAGAACGAAGGTGGGGAGAGGAAGGAGGTTGCCTAGAAAAATCTCAGGGCCTTTTTGCAATTCTTGCAAATGGGAGCAGAATTTGGGGAGCGCGGCCTGCCACTGGCCTCTAAAGTCTAGATATTCCTTCAAAATCATCCCATTCTAGACCTCACGTCTGCTGTCAGTCGACCACAAGCCAAGCATGGCCCAGAAACCTCTTGGAACTGAAAATTGAGCTTCTGATGTTGCTTTCCTTTGATTCCCTAACCCATAATTGGGGCAGACTTGAGACTTCTTTGATGTTGACATGGTTTTCCCCCCCCCCCCTTTCCTGCAGCACGTGGGACCTGGAAAAAGGGCAGCTGTCCAATCACACAGTCGTGCCTGCCATTCTTACTTTTTCAACCCTCCCTGTCTCTGTCCCATTCATTAAGCAGGCAACAAGCCACAACTGGGGTGTAAGTCCACTGCTTCACTGAACATTCAGACCAGAGGTGGGATTCAGCCGGTTCTGACTGGTTCTGGAGAACCGGAAATTTGGAGTAGTTCAGAGAATCGGCCAATCCTACACCTCTGACTGGCCCTGCCAACCCCATCTCTTCTCTGCCTCCCACTGAGTCCCAGCTGATCGGCTGGTTCTTCTTTGGTTGCCCTGCACGGGAGAACTGAGCTGGAAAGCAGGTTAGTGGGGTGGGGAGGAAAGGGGAATTTTGCGGTATACTTCCCCTTCCATGCCCACCAAGCCACACCCACCAAGCCACGCCCACAGAACCGGTAGTAATCCCACCACTGGGGTGTTGCTGCTCTGGACTGATGGACCCCGACTTCTATCCTCCACTTCTTCAGAATGTTACGTAGCATCCTAGGCAAACAACATCCTAGCCCTTTCGATAGAGGGACAGACTCAAGATCACATACAAAAAACCACTTGATAATGCCTTGATAAGATTCCACCTCTGGAATACTGCATCCAGTTTTTGGTCACCGCAATATTTAAAAAAAGAAAAAGATCTTGACACTCTGGAAACGCGTGCCGAGAAGCGCAACAAAGATGATTAGGGGAATATTAGGGAAATATTGAGTCATTCGGAGAACTGGCCAATGCCACCTCTGACTGGCCCCGCCAACCCCATCTCTTCTCTGCCTCCCATTGAGTCCCAGCTGATCGGCTGGGTCTCCTTTGGTTGCCCTGCACAGGAGAAGGGAGCTGGAAAGCAGGTTAGTGGGATGGGGAGGGAAGGGGGATTTTGCAGTATCCTTCCCCTGCCACGCCCACCAGGCCACGCCCACAGAACTGGTAGTAAAAAACATTTTTGAATCCCACCACCACTGATTAAGAAGTTTGGCACCCTCTAGATCCGTGATGGTGAACTTCCGGCATGCGTGATTGTCTGATTGTCTGGGATCTGCCGTACTGTTCTTGGGGGAGGTTTTTGTAACTGGACACTGGGGGCAAAGTTGGAGGCATTAAAGGGGCTTTTCTTACTTATTTGACTGTGTTGCTTTTGTGCCACATCCTGGGTCATCATCACATCCTATGCCATGCTTTCCCTCCCAGGACAAGCAGGGTGAGAAGACTTACCGCCAGGGCTTTCGTGCCTTCCTGCTCGGTCAGGCAAGGCCACCAACCCTTGACTGTCTTCTGCTCAAACAGCGAGACGTCTCTCTCCCGGCTCGCCAGGAGGTCCAAGTGGCATTTTTCGGCGGTCTTGCTGGGCTTTGGCATGCAGTTGAGGTCCAACTGGATGGAGCCTGGTACGTCCGGAAAAAAAAAAGAGGAGTGAAAACGGCGAAGAAAAGGGGCGGAATAGCCAGGTCTCTTGCAGAGGGAGGGAGGGAAGGAAGGAAGGAAGGTAGGAGAAGAAAGAGGAGGAGAAAGAGGAGAAGGAGAAGGTGAAGGAAGACTTCAGGAGGGAGGGAGGGAAGAAGGAAGGAAGGAAAGAAGGAAAGAAGAAGTAAAGCAGGCTGTATAAAAAGGAAGGGAGGGAGGGAGGAAGAAGAAAGAAAAAGAAAGAAAGAAATAAAAAAGAAAGAAAGAAAGAAAGAAAGAAAGAAAGAAAGAAAGA